GAATAAATTTCAAATTAAATTTTTCAAAATATCCCTCTTAGTAACAAATAAATTAAATTAACAAAATAACATCCTCTAATAATTTTTTTAAAAATAAATGGTGGCAGTGGTGGTGATAACAATGGTGGTGGAGGTGGAAAGTGGTAGTGGTTTAAGTGGTAGTGTTGGAAGGCGGCGATGGTGAAAATGGTGGAAGGCGGTGACAGTAGTGTGGTGGTGGTGGTGGAAGGAGAGAGTGGTGTAAGTGGCAGTGGTGGAAGCCAATGGAGGTGATTGTGGAGGCGATGGAAGGCAGTGGAGGTAACGGTGGTGGAAAGTGGTAGCAGTGGTAGAAGGCGGTGGCTGTGGTGGTGGTGGAAGGTGGTGGTGGTGGCGGTGGTAGAAGGCGGTGACGGTGGTGGTGGTGGAAGGTGGCGGTGGCGGTGGCAGTAGCGGTAGTGATGGAATGTGGTGGAAAGCGGTGGCGGTGGTGGCATTGGAAGGAAGTGGCGATCAAAGGCGGTGGCAGTAGTGAAAGGTGGTGGTAGAAGGTGGTAGTGGTGGTGAAAGGCGGTGGCAGTAATAGAAGGTGGCGGTGGTGGCAGTAGTGGTGGAAGGCCATGGCTATGGTGAAAAGCGATGGCGGTGGTGAAAGGCGATGACGGTGATAGTGGAGGAAGGTGGTAGTGGTAGCGATAGTGAAAGGCGGTGGCGGCGGTGGTGGTGGAAAGCTGTGGACGATGGTGAAAGTCTGTAGCGGTGGTAATGGTGGTGGTGGTGAAAGGCGCAAGTGGTTGTGGTGGAAGATAGTGGTGGTTTTTGGACTTGGAATATGAGGGTTTCTTGGAAAGTTGATTTTTTAAAAAAATTTACTTGGGAATGGAATTGTCATTCCATAGGTTTAGTTGTGCAATGGATTTTCATTCCAATGGAATGGTCGTTCCCATTTTAAATTGTGTTCAGGAAAAAATTTGCACACTCTGAACCCGATTACGGATCCTGCAAGACAAGAGAAAAGAGATGACCGGCGCGGTACCGGCTGGGTGCACTCCGACGGCCAAGTTAGTACTCCACCATTCCATCTCCGATAAAGGATTAAATATGAGGTTTATGGCGTACCTTTTTCTATTGACTGGCCTCACTTTTATAGTAAGTTGAAGTTGTCGTCTTTCGCATTTCCTTCCGGGAGAGAAGGGATTAGTTAATCGTATCTTTAGTGCAACCTTTGAATTAATCAAATCTTATCCTTTAATTACCTTATGAGATGGTCACCTTATCTTCTTAAGTTTATCCATACCCTTTGAGTCTCCATGTCACTTGGAATTCTTATCTAGTCGAATATTCCGTATCAGTAGCCCCCCATTCCCGAAATCTTTCTTGTCAAGATTCGGGAATGCCAAGTCCTTCCAAGCTAAGCATGCTTGATGATTACTTTCTTACCTCTTCTAATAAGGGAGTGGGTTTGCTCGAGCTTTGTGAGCTCACCCTTTAATAAGGAGTAGTTAACCCCTCATCTCTTTAGTAAATGAAGGAAGCTTTAATTAAGGCGCCCTTCTGTGTAGAGGGAGTAGTCGTTTTCTCGTTCCTTTTAATGAAAGAATGAGGTGTAGTCAGCCTCTTGCCTTTTAATGAAGGAATGAGGTGTAGTCGATCTTTCATCCTTTTAATGAGGAAACCTTTAATAAGGTGTAGTCAGCCTCTCGTCTCTTTAATAAGGAATGAGGTGTAGTCGGCCTTTCATCCTTTTAATAAGGTGTAGTCGGCCTCTTGTCCGTTTAATAAGGGAAGTAGATTAATACGAGTGTCACTCAGCTCGTCTCTTTAATAAAGTAAGTAGATTAATACAAGCTTCACCTAGCTCACCCTTTAACAAGGGAAATAGATTACTATGAGCTTCACCCAACTCACCCTTTAACAAGGGAAGTAGATTACTATGAGTTTCACCCAGCTCACCCTTTAACAAGGGAAGTAGATTACTATAAGCTTCACCTAGCTCATCCATTTAACATGAATATCTTAACATATCAAAATGATAATGAATTATTTGAAACAACGGATCCAAGTAGGGAATACTTTACTTGTGAAGCGAGATTCTGCACGATTCAGGATGACATCGTTTCTTGCAAAAAGAAGCAATGAACTTTGACAACACCGGTGTGATGCCTGCCAAGAGCTCTCTGACATTCAAGCTAGTCACCGGAGCTCTGAAATAATAACAAGATTTAATATATTAATTATCTCATACATTTCAAGTCGATTATTTACCTTTTTATAGGAGATGGTAACTGTTGTTACATATAGCAACTGTCAGAAAGATTTTTTGTGGTTCCACAAAGATTTTGGGGAGGATAAATCCCTTACCCTTATCTCATTTCTCATTTGAATTTGAGTTGCTCATTATCCACATTCAAACTGCCTATTATCATTTAAACTGCCTATTATTTTTATCCTTATCATGTATGTTGCCCCCCATTCTCGTGCTTGCTTGTCAAGCATCGAGAATGTCAAAGTGTTTTTTGACCGACCTCTCTTTGGCAGAAATCAATCTCTCTTTAGGTTAACCCTTGTTGGGCGACCTCTTTGTGGTTGACCTCATTTACTCTTGTAATAAGGAAGCAGATTTGCCCGAACTTCATGAGCTGAGGGAGTAGGCTTTCTTAATCTTCATAAGCTTACATATATATATTCTCTCTTATTTGCCAAGGTAGTAGAGAAACATTTATATAATGTGAACATATTAATAAATGGTTGTACCAGAGTAATCATATTAGTATGTCAATTGAAATAGGACTTATTACTGTAAATATCATAGAAGACCGACAAAAATAAAGCCCATATTACTATAACAATATTGGCTCATGTGATAAGAAACACCTTCAATGGTGATGCGTATAATGATCTGCAATGATAGATCTTGATGTCCCAATGAGATTGCTTGGCCAACAAACTTCAAAGTAAACAAACAAATAGAGATCTCCACAACTTTTTTCACAGGTGCAACCTCAATAAGCAAAAGCTTTAATACCACGATAGAATTCTGGGTCTTCCGAAGATTAAAGATGTTAGGGAATGAGCCCAACAGTTTACTCCAATCAAATTTGGAGATCAAAAGGTGCTAGATGATCGTTTCAGCACTTAATCTTTTTCATTGACCCTATTATTATTTTGTTGAGTCTATTATCTTTTTCGTTGAAGAAAAATCAATCAGACTTAAAGCAAATGAGTCACTTGCTCTCCTGAATAAGAACATTGTCTTAAAAAATTCTAATGAGGAAAGAAAGTAATGAAACATATTGCATTTCTTTTGACAAATTGCTAATCTTTTAAATGTGTTGCCTAAAAATCTCTAAATTCAGTGTCATTGAGAAACGTGATTTTTCCAATGGCCAATTATTTGTTAATGTTAATGTCAACAAAGTATTGCATAATTAGTTGCAAAAAAACCGCCGTCCTCATAAGAAAACCATGAGTCGAGATCTATGTTTTCCCAGAGTTTTAACAGTGGGTTGGCGATTTTGAATATAAGCCAGATATAAATAGTACAGTGACAGTAAAAGTATTGATCAAAATATTAATGTTGCAGTGCCAATGGAAGGAATGATAAGTATTTCACAATCTAATCAAAATTCATATCTCATTCTCATAAATGAAATATAGTTGCTAAATGATAAGAGTAACTAAGAACTAGAATTAGAATTAACTAAATGCACATACTTTACTAAAATTTTAGTGTATTCAATTTTTCATGTACATGCAAATTTTTATGTTTTATTCTTGCTGATAAGCAAAATTATTGTCAACAAAGTTTCAATAGAAGGACCTGAATTCCTCAAAAAATTAATTAGGATCCAAGCTCACTTCCTTAAACTAGAAAGGGATAATGTCCTTTAGCAACTGACTGTGTCAAGGGCTCTATACTTAGCATTTTTATGAACTAGAATGCATCGCCTTTATAAGCACTAGCCAAAAGGCCGAGTAGTTTTTGAAAAAAAGAAAAAAGAAGTTGCTAGAGTAGTTTTCAGTTGCATTTTATTTTCTAAATAATACTACTTTGAAATTGCATGCGCCAATAATTGCAAAGGTGACCCGAGTAATCAATTTATCACCATCTTTGCTATCAAGTTTCAGTTCATCTTATCCTCTTATAAGATGGTACAGGAAATCTATCCTAGTACTTTCCCAATTGTTATCCTCAAGTATATGCTGAAACATATTAAAAAGGACATAGAAATTTGATGCCTTCATATTCCAGGGCTGACCAATCAATTGCTCATATCCTAATGTGAGCATGGCAGACCAAGTTTCTCATTTTTAGGAGACCACATCTAGGTTTGCAATTTAATACTTGTTTTTGCACACTAGCTAACAGGTATACTAGACTAAAAGATTGGTAAACTCTCTAACAAATAACAACTTAAAATTAAGCTACACAACCTCTTGTTTTTAAGCCTTTTGACAGTGGTCTATCATTCCCTCCTTATGTTGTTGGACTAATTCATGCTTGCCATGTTGAGCAAATATAAGTGATTTAAGCAAATATCATAAATACTGCATTTCATATATTTTGAACTGCATTGAACCTTCCACTTCTATACATTGTTCTACTATTGTTGCTTTATCGTACTTCTTAGGACTCAAATTGGTTAATAAATATAGGCTTTAACTAGGCAAATTTGAGACCTGTATTACTTTTCTTTTCTTATTTTCTCAAGAAGAAAGCAAGATACTCTTTATTGTATTTTATTTATTTATTTATTTTATACCACATGAGTTGATTAATATGGACTCGCAATAAACTAGCATAGAAATTGAAGTATTAAATAAACGAATAGATAAAAGGTTTCAAATACAGTATTGCGTATTCTCTATACTTCTTGTTAATTTTTTTTTTCAAATATTAATAGAGAGAATACACGCATAATATCAATTTATTGTGAATTTCGAACGTAATTAAATACTGTAATTAATTTTATAAAAAGAGATAAATTAGAATAAATATCAGTAGAGAGAGAAAGAGAGACCTGATTTTTTAACCCTTGCTTTTGAATTGTTCCTATGCCAGCAATCTGAGAAGGCCCAATTGAAACTGAAGATGCATCCCATAGTCGTACATCATGAGCATTAGAAGAGACAACCAACTGGGTCTCTCTAGAAAGATATGACTGAACAATTGTCAAGGGAAACTGGAGGCCATTGTAGCTCTCCAGCACATTGTTGCTATTGGAGTCAAAAATTTTGAGCTCTCTAGAATGGCTGCCAGTAGCAATCTGAGAGGAATCTCCGAGGAAAGTTATGCATGTCAAAGGAGCACCACGGTCTGAATCTGCTATAAACAAATTGGCGATCCCTACGACTTCCATGGATCCCACCATACATGCTCCTAAACTCACCTGTACTAAGTCGGGCTGTCACATTCGATGGGGCATCAAGGCTTCGTCTTGGTTCTGGACAAACATGTGGCTGCAATAGAGAAAGTGGAGGTAATGTGGTGATAGGAGTTGGGCACTGTTGATGCTAATGAACAGAACATGAGAGTGAGCCAGCGAACACAAATATCACTGAAAAGATCAAAAATTTCTCGATCGTGATTTATTTGGGAAAAAACAATTAGGAATTTTTGGAAAAAATCAAAAATTTCTCGATTATAATTTCTATTTCTTTGCGGGACTAGTTGTAATTTTTTTGTGGGACTAGCACACATTCTTACGGATGGCGCCAACTGTTGAGGAAAAAATCTGCACGCTCTGAACCTAGTGACGATTCCTGCAAGACAAGAGAAAAGAGATGGCCGGCGTGGTACCAGCCGGGTGCACTCCGACGGTCAAGTTAGTACTCCATCCTTCCATATCTGATAAAGGATTAAATATGGGGTTTATGGCGTACTTTTTTTTATTGACTGGCCTCACTTTTATAACAAGTTGAAGTTGTCGTCTTTCGTATTTCTTTCTGGGAGAGAATGGATTAGTTAATCATATCTTTAGTGCAACCTTTGAATTAATCAAAACTTATCCTTTAATTACCTGATGAGATGGTTACCTTATCTCCTTAAATTTATCCATACCCTTTGAGTCTCCATGTCACTTGGAATTCTTATCTAGTCGAATATTCCGTATCAAATTGCATACCAAACAAAGAAATGGTTGGAATGAGCATTCTATTCCATTCCATTCCTGAACACCAAACGCAGCATTAAATGTTATGATATTACCAAATGGAACATAGTTTCTTATCAAAGATACCATATTCTGAGTCAATTAGGCAAATAGGAAAATAATGATGAAGTTGTTGGGTAAAATAGGAATATAAAATAAAATGAGTTGCTTTGGTGGAAAAATAAGCTTTCATGTGTTTTTACGTGAGAATTTCTTTTTGAGGAAATTAATTAGTTATGGTAATCTTAATTTTTCAAAACTTTTTGTTTTTGCATCTAAAGTTCAATATAATTTAAAATAAATTCCATTTTTCCTTCATTCTTATTATTTTCATGTGAGATTTATTGTCCATCTAAATATAAGATGTGATATAATTCTTTTAGGGACGTCAAAGAAAAGAGGAGCTTAGATCCTCTACTATGTACAACATCGTGTTGTAGGGTCTTTCAATACAATTAGATATGTTTCTAACATGTTAAATCTATCTATTTTAGTCAAATTTAATGCAATGAAAAACAAAATTAATTTGTTAAAAAATAGAATAAATTTATTTTAAATATATATATAAAAATAGAATTAACGCGTGGACAAATTTGGGCACTACTGCAACACCAAATTATTAGAATAGATGATTAGGCATAAGAAAAGAGTCTCTCTAGTGTGGGGCCTAAATGTCTTGTAAAGATATGGGATAAAAAAAGATGAGTCTTTAAAGGAATTTTAGGGTTTTTCAGTACAATTAAATCTATTTTCAATGTGTTAAATGATTAAATTTATTTATTTTAGCTAAATTTAATGTGTTGAAAATTTACTGTATCTAAAAAATAAAATGAATTTATTAAAAAATATATTAAAAACATAATTAATGTTTTACACATAAATTTTCATGTTTGAAAATCTAGGATCGAAAATGAACAACAAATAATTTTGGTGCAAGGGCTTCAAAAGCTTGATCTTGAACCGTTAAGCTTCTCTTTAGATCTTCAAGGTTACAAAAGGGTTGACTGAATATCTCATCAAAGGCCGATGGAGTTTGATCTCGAACAGTAGATTGAAATTTTTAAAAAGAATGACACTTGTATGGCGTGCTTGCTGTTATTCATTTTAAAAAAACTCCGAGTGTTGAAGGTCTTCGATGAAGAACAACACTTATGTGATGTGTTTATTGTTTTTCATCTTCAGAAACTTTGAGTGTCGAAGATTTTTAGAAACTTTAAATGTTGAGGGTCTTTGATGAAGAACGACACTTGTTTAATGCGCTTGTTGTACTTCGTTTTTAGAACTTCGAGTGTTAGAGGTGTTTAAAGAATGGCACTTTTATGGCGTGCTTGTTATTTTTTGCCTTCGTAACAGAGATTCGGCAAAGTTTTGGTATAGTGTTCGTTTTTCTCTGTGTGTTCTGAATGTGTGGGGTGACATTGTATTTATAGGTCAAATGGTGAAGTGTTTAGTTTAAAAACTCGCCAATAATTGTGCTATTTTTTTTATAAATAAAAGAGATTTTTCTCATCATATATATGAAAATGAATGATTTATACATGTGTCTATCCATGAAATTTATTGACCAAAATTATTTCTTCCCAATCGGATGATAGAGGCATCACAAAATTTAAATGTTTACAAAATATATATATTTTGTTTGGCTCAAGTGCAGAAAACATCCTTAAAGTATGCTTACAGTGCATATTACAACCCTCATATGCAAAAAACATCCCTAGAGTTTCAATTTGGTGCAAATAGGTTTTCTGACAAATTTAAACCCTAAGTTGACTAAATTACCCTTACTGAACTATTTTATAAAATATATATAAATAAATAATTTTGTAAAATGATCGAAAATGACACTATTGGAGGATGCTCCTCTTGTGCAAAAAAAAACTCCTAAAGTTTCAATCTGGTGCACATAGGTCCATCTGACAAATTTAAACCCTAAGTTGATTAAATTACCCTGAATCATTTTATAAAATATATAAAAATAAATAATTTTATAAAATAACCGAAAATGACACTATTGGAAGACGCCGACAATGGACAAGTAAAGATAAAATATAAAATAAAAATAAAAGTATAAAAGAAAAGTAAAGATAAAAATAGAAAATAAAAAAAAAATAAAGTGCAAACTAAAGAAAACAAAATTTTTCCAAACTCTGAAAACTAATATTGGGATTTTTTTTTTTTTTTGGTTTAACAGTGTTGGTAAGACAAAAAAATAAAATAAAGAAAAAAAAATTTAGTAGAAAAGAGTAAACTGAAACCTCAAAAAATTTAAATCCTTATTTTATAAATTCTCAAAATTAAAAAAAAAATGTTTAGAGATATATATAAAGAAAAAAGTTTTTTATTTTTAAAAATAAGATAATGTGCACATAACACCTCTATACTATGAGATTAGTAGTATATATACCTCTAGACATTTTCGGAAGAGTAAAAGGACAAAACGAGTATTATAATACTAATTTATGTTAGAAGATATATTTTTGTACAATGTGAAAAGATTAAAGATATTTTTTACATATTTTTTCAAATAAAAAGTAAATTATTACGCACAATATATTTTTGAGATATTTTTTACACTTGCCCATTTTGTTATGACAAATTATGGCAGCATAGCAAACACCAACTGAAGTGAGAATTGGGGAGAAAGAAAAGAGTTTCTCGCTTGGGCTGGGCCTAAATGTCCGACACTTGAGTCAAATGTAACAGCAGTTGAATTTATTTCAACAACTGCCATCACCAAAAAGGACATATTTTGCCCGCAGGTCCAAGTTTAATTCTTGAATCCAGTTTTTGACTGTTACAGTTGTCATCGCGTGGTTTCAATAATCTATATGTACAGTATATACACAATATATATATATATATATATATGTCTCTATTACGATGCGCAATAACTCAATAACATAGCCTGTAGCCTCAGACGTGGCCCCCACGAAAAGGTATCGGCGAAAGAAAGGAATCCAATCCCTCCCCCCATCTCTCTCCACAATACAAAAGACTCGCTTTCTCTCTCTAGAGTCTACCCCAATAATCTACTTTCCTTGCCATGTCGAATTATTGAACCTTCCAGAGTCTGTTTCATACAGAACTCTTGTTTCGTTCCGTTTCAAGTTCTATCAACACTACAAAGCCTCACTAAAAATACCCTTTTCGTTTACCGTCTAATTTTTATATATTTGCTCCACGTATTGTTACCTTTTCTCCTTTTGCAGGAGTTTCTGCTTCTTCAACTCTATTCACAAGGTATTTTAAGTGTTTTCTTGCGATATATATATATATATATATAGATGCATATTATATATAGATATATAAATGTTCACCCATTTGTGTTCACTATTGAATTTGGCCCTCTGCTTTATCTCACCCTTTTTAATTTTTCATTCACCTCAATTTTTATTTTAATTTTTTTTTTCTAATTATTTTTTGGCTGTGATTGTAACTTATGAACCAATAATTCATAGAACATTGTTATTATTATTTTTTATTTTTATATCACTGAATTGTATGTTCATGATGTATTTGTTTGCAGTTTGGGTTTTAGATTAACAATTCCAGCAACTGCAATATGTTGGGTCTGGAAATCCCCATTGGGTTGATGGCCTTAACCGGAAATGGCAGTCCGGGCAAGGAATTGCATTTGTTATTGTCCGCCTTTGTCGGCATAGCAATGTGCACAGTTGTGAGTATTCTTGTTTAATTTGGTATCACATATTTTGCTATTTCTTGTAGTCAGTGGAGCTATACTTAATAGTGGGTATGATACTATTTGTTTCTTAATCCATGGCTAGATGTGGTAACTTAATGTACTAATTATTAAGTTCTCAAGTAGAAGTTGCCTGAGTCGTTCGATGCATGGTGTCGATATTGAATTGAAAGGAGGGGAAATCTAAAAGTTTAAACTTAGGAGCTTGAAGGCTGAGTATATAAATGCCATTTTACTTTTCCCCCTTTTGGATTGTTTCTACCTGTAATTGTGGGGGAATTGAATTCTTATGAGCAATTACTGAAAGAGATAGTGGATAGTAAATGAATGAGTATAAGAATAGATACAATAAGGTAAAGAACATGATTAGCGTGCTTCTTTAATTTAGTTTCAGAAATTGGAACCAGTGAAAGAGTTCGAGAATTTGTCGTTTCCAAATTTTTGTCTGCTGAATAAAATTCTGATAAATTTTGGAAAAAAACAGTTTTTTCCCCCTATGTTTGGTTTATTTTATAGAAATTATGGACAATCTACATCTACTATGTATGTGGGGAATTATGAAGTAAAGCGTATCCAACACTAACTTAGACATTAGTACTTGAATCACTACCAAGTGCATGAGGGAGCTAATATCTAAGTCTTGCATAGTGTAGTGAAGCCCTGCTGATATAGGGTAATTGAGCTCTAAAGCACTCTCTGCTATTTTGCTCACTCCCTGCATTTTTATCTGCCCCCTAGTGGTATCTCCTTCAAGCTACCAACCTCTCTACAGGGTTTGTGAGGTGAAAGCCTGAAAATCCTCATAGGCCTCTATTGTGAGTCCTGATTCTTGGTAGATTACATCCCTCTCATTTTTATTCTCGTTCATATAGGTCTCAATCAATACTAGTTACGTATTTATCCGGACGTTTCTAATCCAAATTTGTTGTTTTATAAGGAATGCAATTCATTGTTTAACCAAATCATATATCAAATAAAATACAATTCTAAATCAGAGGCCTAATAAATTTAGGAATTTGAATAATTCCCATATAATAGCAATTCTATTTAGTGTTTCCAAATTGAAATTCTTTGAACTTTTATTTTATTTTTAAGTTGAATTGGTAATGAAAATGAATGAGATCTAAGACTGTCCACGCGGAAACAAGATCTAAGACTGTCTGTGCTGTCGCATGCATTATCTGTCAGTGTTGTTATAATTATTTTTCGATATTTTATTTTGTAACTTAAAAAAAAAAATTCCCCTGAAAATTAAAACAAAAACTGTTTTTCACTAATCTTGGCTCCCCCCCTACCTGCTTAAGATTTTTTTTATTTTTTATTTTATTTTTATGAAGGTTTATCAATTAACGGGGTTAGTCAGCGGTTTGTTGTTCAAGGGATATACTAAACTCAACAATGCCGAGAAAGTTGAATGGAACAACCGGTAATGTTCTTTCTTCATGCTGATTCCTTTTTTGGTCATGAATACTATTCTTCGTGGTTGATGCTGAGTTGTTTCAACAGATTAAATGTTGCTTGCACTGTGCAGGGGTTTTTCTACATTCCACGCATTCATTGTGGCAGCTGCTTCTCTCTATCTGTTACTATTCTCGGGTCTCTTTGATGAGGGTTCTCATGATGAGTTGATAACTAATAGGAAGTCTACTTTATCAGACACAATATTGGGGGTATGTTGTTGCAGAAGGTGGTATACTGGTATTATTAAGTATATTTGATGTACCGCGTGTTTTATGATCAATTGATTTTATGTCTTCATCCAGCCGAATCGAATGCAGGACTTTTAGAAATTATTAAACTAATTGAAATCATTCTGAGGCCTGACAGAATATTACATGATTCAATATTTTCTAGTAATATTGTGGTTATTAAAATATTGATGAACTACCATACTAATTCATCTTTTTAATCTTTTGTGTTGGGCTACTCATGCACTCCCTTTAATCCAATGTATTTTTGAAGACTGATTTACCTTAATATGAGAGAAGAAATTGCAATTAATGCTTGCGAGATTCATACTTGTATGAGATGAAATTTGGACAAAATTTAATATGAAACAAGACAGGGACATGGTGAAATTTAAACGACTACTGCAATTTGAAGATTTAATGTTAGTCCCTCTTAAATTAGATGTGAACATGTGAGGCACCTTTTAAACAAGTGTAAGTCTTCAAAAGATGAGCACGTCAATGAGTGCATGGGGGATAACCTAGCACTCTTTGTTGGAAAGTAAAGTTTGAAAATTGAGATGGTTTAAGCATGTGGTAAAGAGTACAACGAAAATTCATGGGTAAAAATGAAGCCAGACATCTCCAAGTGGTTGTAAAACAGTTTTTGAAAGAAGAAAATTGAGACATATTGTTTGTAGTATATGGTTTGCGGACTTTGAAAACCTAAAGAGTTTTGGGCTTGATCCTTTTGGTATGGTTAAGTAATATTTAAGGGTTTTTAAAATTTGTTAAAGAGTTCACAAATGAATTGAGAGTTTGTTAGGATATCACACTCAAAAAGAAGGATGCAATTATTGCAATCATGTTTTAAGGTGCTTAGGAGGTGGGAGTCTACATTTCAAAGTAGTTAATTTCCTTTGTCAGAGGTAATATATCCTAAAATATCATCCGGTGTCACATGTGTGAATTCCTTAGCCAACTCTCTAGCGTTAAGTTCCTAAATCTCCTTATGCACAGCATTTCTTTCCAGTTCTGCTAATAAGGACCATTTTCTACATTACAGGTAATAGAACAAAGAAACAGATAGCAATAGCTTGATAGGAGGGTGCACTTGAATTGTAAGGTACTTTTTTAGTAATCTGAGCTAGGTTCATGATTTAATCCCATCAAAATAGGGAGGCCACTTTTATCAACAATAGTAGCTACACAAATAGTAGAATAGGAGCTGGATTACCCATGGAGTGGCAATTTCTTTGATATGCACCCACATTTCCTTCCCTTGATGTTAAACCTAAGGAAATATATGGTCTTTCTCATTGTAAATGGATAATCAAACTCTCTGTTTGCTACATGCTGATACACCGTAATGTGGCCTTATAAAGATATATATTAAACCATTCCATCCAACTTACCATTAAAATAATGAATATAGACATGAATATAATACTGTATATGCCTTTGGATGTTCACTATATGCTGCTGTGTTGCAACAGAGGAGCTCAGTCGCAGGAAGATTTAGGTAGTAGCGGGATAGACGGCTTGGAACTAAAAGGTGTAAGAGACATTTGTAGAGAAAAGTAAGGGTTGGGCTGTCTGTATAATGTTTTTACTATGGAGAAATTTGTGAATTATACAAATTCTAGTGAAATAAGATGGAAGGCCTGCTTATGGCCACCATTATTAGATCACAGTTTTCCCATAATGAGGAGTGAGTATTATCATTTAAGAACCTTCAGATTTTGATAAGATGTCATCTGTTAGTTTTCACTTTTTAGACGTTGCTTTTAAATAGCATGAAAGAATTATCCACACTACGACTGATTTTTATCAAACGAGGACAAAGTACAAGATGGAATCCACATTTGAAAATAATAAAAATTGTGACTAATTCATAGTTTTCAAACGAGGATAAAGTACAAGATGGAATCCAGATTTTGAAAATAACAGAAAACTGTAAAAAGCTATATATGTAATTCACATTTTGAATATGATAGAAAATTGTAAAAGGCTATATGTAATCGACATTCTGGATGTTGTGTTTATGTGCTCTTTCTTAATGGATTATGTGGCAACAGTTTGTGTCATCATCTGCATGGCCTCTTCTACCTAGGGCTATTTTTAGTGCAACACATTATGATTTTCCAACCTAATGTTCCTGTTCAACACTGCATTTTGATATTTTTATTGCTAAATGGTTGTCAGAAAGCAATCACAGTGATGCTCATTCCATACCTTATAAGAGTTCATAATGAAAAAGAGATTTAATTGATTGATTCCAGCAGGTGTCCTATAGAGTTCAATTAATATTGGTTAAGAGTTCAATTAATATTGGTTAACTTCCATATTCATTTAGGATTCTGTACTATATTTCAGCAATATCTTCTCTCTATTTTCATCGTGCCATTTTTTTCACTTCAACAATTTCAAATGTTTATGCAGATTTCTATCGGTTATTTCCTCACAGACTTAACAATGATTATTTGGAATTTTCCAGCTTTAGGTGGTATGGAGTATGTAAGTAAATGTACCTCTATGTTATTGAAGTGTTGTGTTAGTGAATTGTGGAAATTTATTTAATCATAGCCAGGGATGGACCCAGAAAATTTTAAGTGTGGGGGGCCGAATTAATGGAATGAATATTAAATCTATAAAGTATAATATATTTCTTTGCAATAGACTTTTGGAAAGTTGATATAAAAAGATTAATTAGAAATTAAAATATTTCATAAATAACTAAGTTTAGACAAATCAATAAGAAAAATAATATAAATATAAGAATATATGGAATTTTCAAACCGTTCCTTTGTAATGTGGACTTCCAAAAATAAGACCTAAAAGGACTCAAAATGAGTCTCTTACAATTTTTATTTATTTATTATTATTATTATTATTTTTTTTGGGGGGGGGGGGGGGGGGGGGGGGTGTGGGGGTGTTAGAAGAAAGACTTCCTTGCACCTTTAATACTTCTTATTTGTGCCATCAACTAATTGTATCCTATCACATAAGTAAAGGTGCTTTATTTTAGTGGGTGCTACCATTACGTGTCAGTATCTACCAGTTGGTGATACCACATCACCAATACAACCGGCGCAATTAATTTTTTCTGAACCTAATTTTAATGATTTTTTTGAAATTTCATGGCCCCCTAGTCCCAAAAGCTTTTAATCAACTCTGAATAAAGTTGTCCTTTCCAATTTAGCCTGGCTGAATTTGCTTTAAAATTTAACATGATGCATTAGCTGAATAAGTATGCTTGTAATATTTAACAGTTTTACATCTGGTGTCCTTGCCTTCAGAGTCGAGTTGAATTACCTGAGATACAGGTGCCCAAGAAGTTCTTTTAAATTGCTTTATAATTTTCTTTTATTTTGTTCTTTCAATCAGGTGTTACACCATGGACTATCTATGTTTTCAATCTTTCTATCCCTTATAAGTGGTCAAGGACAGATTTATATACTGATGGTTCTCTTTTCTGAGAGCACAACTCCCTTTGTTAATTTAAGATGGTAAGTTAACATCCACAAGTTCCTTTGCTTTTATGTTCTTGGTGGAGAACACTGGTTTACTACTGTTAATACATATGCAGGTACTTGGATGCTGCCGGTCAGAAGAATTCTAAGCTTTATATCTGCAATGGTGTTGCACTGTTCCTTGGGTGGTTTGTATGTCTCCCAAACCTCAAAATCATGAATTTTCTTTTTCCTCTTTGTAGTTAGTGTTGCAAAATATTCAGTATTGTTGGATGTGAATATTGGAGTGCACACAAATAGAAGTAGTGTGTTTGCTGCCAAAGGATTGGTTTTGGGCATGTTAGTATTTGTCAAAGTGAGGAGTTGCCTAATGTATCCTCCACAATTGTTACAAGAACTATCAGTGAATAGTATTGAGAAATAAATAAGGCATTATAACATATACAAATCATCTTTAAAGATTATTAAAACATAACTGTAACAGTTGGTTCTTTATTGTAATTCAACCTACTATTCAATTTAAAATTATATTACAAGTATTTGGAAAATCTGTATGTATACTACTATATAAATGTCAATAGCATTTTTATTTTCTATATACATCTTTTTGCACCTTTTAAATTTGGGCTTATAGTTTTTCCAAACACAGTTGGATTGTTGGCTACAACGGTTGGCTCCTAATAGTGTCATACACAGCCATTCAATGCAACAGTGGGCCACCATCCCTCTTTAAATTAATAACCTTTACTAGTAGTTTCGTTATTAAACTGTATAACAATTTCCGTCCAAAGTTTCACCCTTTCTCTCAAGGCTGAAGCCCTTACTTTTCTCCATCCCCAAAAAATACATTGGCCACCATCTTATTCTCAGAATCAAACTTATGTGATTGGGTTGTTTCTCTCCTTCTCTCTCTCTCTCTCTCTTTAAGATTTTTGCAAGACATTCTAATTGTTTAGATTTCTTTTACAAGGTAGTGAGTCTTATCATACAAATATTATGAAACCTGAACTGGATTTTATTAAACAAAGCCCATTTTTTTTTTTTTTTTTTTAAATTTACATTAATTTTTCAACTCATGCAATAAATGTGCGTTTTACTAGTGATTTCAAATTGCTGTAGAAGTCAGTAGTTAACCTGTTCTATGTACATTTCACTAGTGATTTTATATTGCTGTAGAAGTCGGATGTTAGCCTGCTCTAATGCATGCAGTATAAACTTTTATAGAAGCTTCCTAATTCCATGAAAACTCGTATGGAAGCTTTATTACTGTGTTTATGTTTCTGTATAAGCTGACATCCAATGAGAATATGGTTGACGTTATGCTCTGTAACATGCTTACGTATATAAGTGGATTACTACATGGTACACCACTTAGGACCTAGTTAGTGTGGTGGACACTCAAGTATATATCATTTCAAACTTGTTTTTAATGAAGAAGCATTTTTTTTCTGTCATTTATAAAGGTGTAGATTAAGGGAAAACATATTTGTATCTTTTACTATGCATGAGTTTCACAAAGTTCTTGTAATTAAGTTGGGTAATATTAAGAAATTCATAGGCAGTCCTTAAGGGTATGATGAATTTAACTTTTAAAACCACTTCGGAAAAAAATTTTACTTTTAAAACCAAGAAAGGAGGCAGGCGAAAGGATGAGGAGAGTGAATACTTGATAAGAAATAAATATTTCATTGTTGGGCTTTTGTAGTGTTTTAAAGATTCCTGCAGTAAAATTAACAATTGTATTAGGTTTATATCCACAAATTTAAATACTTATCAAATAAGGAAAGAATGGAAATAAACATTGAATGTATCATTTTACAGATTATTTGATCAAAATCACAATTTACGAGGAGATGTGAATCCTCTGAATGTGTTTCTCTCATAATATTTTGAATGTTTGTATATTTCTAATTATTTCCCTTTAAAAAAATTTGTAAGACTGAGATACTTGAAGCACGGAGTTGATCTCCTCTTGGGAGATTGGTTGAATTTTGAACCAGAAATTCTCTTATTTTCTTTTGTTGTTGTTGTTGACTGCTTTTAATATATAATTCATAGAAATTTAATTTTTATCATAGTGATATATTTCTGCCTGGATGATAACTTCAAACTTAAGAGACAGTCATATATTCTGCCTTGCTGGAAGCCTCTCATATAATTTCACCATCTGTTGTCTTTTCAAAAAATTTAACAGAATTTTATGTGATTAATTTGCTTTTACATCGCCATAAATAATTTTGTAATATGTACTTTTGATGCTTCCAGGTTGCAAGGATTCTTTTGTTCATCTTCTTTTTCTACCACATGTTTATCCATTTTGATCAGGTGAGTGGATGGTCCATGGTTAATCTGATGAGAACCAGGTTAATTAAGAACCACAACTTTACTTATTTTATCGTAAAATGTGATCATTTTTGTAAGATATAGGGAATGTTTGGAATCCTGACTATCAAGATAGTTTATAACCCATAAGAACTTTTCTCTTCCATGCCAATTTGATTGCTGAGGAATAAGAAGAAGCTAAAATTTGGAATTTTATGATCATTGTAAATTTGAGCTTTATTTTATTTTATTTTTTTGGTCTGGCAATTAAATAAAAATATAATAGAAATCTTTTGTGGGTTATTTTTTTGGATTTTCCCTGTTGCTTCCCTTAAAAAAAATTAAAAAAAAAATAAAAGAAAAAAAAGGCTGAACCTTCATTTCTGGAACTATTAAGTCAAAAAATAGTGGTGTGTTAGATTGACAATCAGCATTTGAATTGGCAAATTGAATTTGTACCAACCCCAACATTTAGCAGTAAAGATGATGCACAGCTCTCTCTCTCTCTCTCTCTTTCACACACACACACACACATGATCACTGGCTTTAATTTTAATTTTCTATTCTTTTGTTTTCTTTCCTTTTTATTTTTCAGGTCAAGGAAGTGTTTCCCTTGGGCTTCTACAGCTTGCTTACGGTGCCCCCCGTGTTGTCAGTCATGAATTTGTTTTGGTTTTGGAAAATAGCCAAGGGTATGATAAAAACACTCTCCAAAGCAAGACACAGTCAGTGATCCATCGTCATCGAGCCTCTGACGCTTGCGTACATATATACCATTCTGTGTATTACAATAGGTATTACTTCATGCAGTGTAATCTCAAAATACTTGCATATTCTCTCTCGCTCTTCGGTTCTTCATTGGATTCGACAAGTTCAGCCTATTATTGTTGTGAATTGAGTAGTGTTTAGTGAAAGAAAATGCATGTACATTGAGGTTAAGAAGGCATGATTTTCAAGTTCTCTCAGAAAATATGGCATATTCTTTTGTGGTACCTCTGGCACAATGGTTCTATTTGGTGTTTAGGTTGATGAAATCTGTGTCTCCTCAGGTGTTCTTAATTGAAAATTTGTCTAGGTGATTGAAATGGGTAAAAGAGATCATGCAATTGGAAGTGAGAGCTAATGGTCCAAAGTATATAGTTATATTAATCCCTAATCCAAACACTTCCGCCCCTTTTATTTTTATTATTATTATTTTTTTAGCTATATTGAAAATTTGGCTAGTGATATGGGTGTTGAATGAAAATGGAGACCCGCCAAGACTTTGGGATTCCGGCGTGGCAGTTTTGCCCGAGTGGTAAAGAGCCAGGCGGGAGTGAAGTGCCCCCTGCTCCTTCGAATCTCCTTCTGGATTCCCACTAACTACAAACTCTCCTTACCAAGTCTGCTAACTTTCGTTGCCAAGTCACAAAAAAAAAAATATATATATATATATATATATAGGGAATGGAGCCTTTGAATGGATGAAGCTATCAAAAAGTTTGTCGAGATTAGGTGACTCAATCCTCGACCTCAAATCAATATATCTATTTTTCTTGTTGTGAAAAAAAATTGTTATTCTAATAAAAATGTAAACAATTATTCTATATTTTATTATTATTATTATTATTTTGGCACATCAACATTAAAATATCTAATTTAATCCTTTTCTTTTAAATCCTATTCACACTGTTGCAATAATTCTCATTTGTCGTTTCTCGTTTCTCGATTCTGGTCTATTTCACTAAATTATTATTCATATACTTTGCTCGTTATGTCATTTTAATAAGTGGCTATTGTAATTTGTGAGTGTCATAAAGAGACCAACGGTACCCACTAAAAAAAGTGCAAGAATGAATAAATAAGTTATTTTTAATTTAAAAAAAGTAGTGGAAGAAAAAAGGAGAGTATGAGAAGAAAAAGGAAACAAGAATGACATAATTTGGAAAGGAAAAAGAATTAAACTTTGATTGGAGTTAGGGAAATTTTACATTTTAAAGAAAATTAAAGGGATTTAAGGAAAGAAAGATACAAAAAAAGAAAAAATTAAGAAAAAATTTTAGAAATTAAAATAGTTTAAAGGAAGACCATTTGTGCCAATAAAAAAATAATCATATATAATATGATTGGCGGGCCAGGTTAGGGGCATGTGGCCCATGGGTATGGATTGGCTCCACCCCTCGAGTGTCTATCATGACCCATTTACTCCCCCATACAGTACAGTACGCGGATCCTAGATTGAGACAGAAAGTGTGGGATTTGAGATTTGGGACATAGATGAAATGTTGGAAGTGGGTTCATGGAACCTCCATAAATGTGACAGATGGAGAGCCATTAAACGGTCAAACTAAGTGCAAAGACCGTGTCCATTTCGTGCTCATCGATCGAGTGGCCACAACCACCTCGATCCCGTTAAAACGGTAACAACGGTCGTCTTTGTCGGCCCCCTCTCATAATCCAACCCCCACCTCCTTCAATTCCACACTTTCTCTCTCTCTACTCTCAACCAACAGTCTGCGACTTCCCAGGCCCCTTAAAACTACTCATAACTCCTCTCTCTCTATATATATATATATACTCCCCAACTCTAGAGAGAGAAACAAACTACAATAAAAAGATCGACCAATATATATATATCTATATATATTATACACGTGTGATGTGGAGATCGTCCTGCAATTTCTTGAGACAGACTGTGTTGTCGGCGGTTAGATATCGGTCTAAGCCGCTGATTGGATTTAGAGGGTGTAGTTGGGACGTTGATTATGGGGGCAAGTCAATTTCGTTAGATTCGGGTTCTGGTGGTGTTGCCGCCGGCGGAGCTGATGGCGGCGGCGGTGGCGGTGGGGAGACTATGTCGTATTCGGAGGCGAAGAAGCTGATGAGATTGGTGGATGTGGAGTCTTTGAAGATGAAGCTGGGGATGGAAGGGAAGGAGGTGATCGGGTATTCGGAGCTCCTCGAAGCCTGCCAGAGCATGGGAGTGGCCAAAACTCGAGACGAGGCCGCCGTGTTCGCCGGAGTTCTTGATGAGGCTGGTGTCGTTCTTCTCTTCAGAGATCAAGTCTATCTCCACCCCGATAACGTACTCTCTCTCTCTCTCTCTATATATATATTCACACACATTTATATACAAATGCATATATTCGTAATTGTTGCAGTAGAAATAGATTAAATATCAAAATTTATTTACAATAAATAACACATTCTATTTAAACTTTTATCTTCTGTGTGCTTTCAAAATTAAAGTGGTAAAATGCACTAAGAACTAAAAATTATTAGCCAAAGAATTTTGGGTCGTATTTACAAATTGCATTTGCATCCGACAATAATGATATATTCTCTGAATCCAAGAATACCAAAGAAGTGATATGTAAGTGAAGATATGAATCTCATCACAAGACAATACGACTATACTTTTCCAACAAGAGGCAATTGCAATTTCTTTTTTCTTACTAAATTGTGATAATTTAAAGGAGAGTTCGTCACAAAAGCTTTATGGAACACACACCTCTTGATTGACTTGTTCTAGTGTATTTTGTTTAATGGCTTTTTGCTTTTGATGTGTCTCAAAGAAAAGAGATGCACTACACCAGTGGAAGATTTTATCTCTCCCCTCTTTTTTCATGTTGCTTTATAAAATGCTTATAATAGAAGTGCACAAATATTGAAACTCTTCTGGTGGACCCTACATCTCGATTTGTTGGGTAGTCTAGAAAGGTATGAGAAAAAGAAAAAGAAAAAGAAAAAGATAGGACACTTCACTTTGACTTTGTTGACAATATTGATGATACGAGATTGAGAGGAAACCAGATAATATTAAAAGAGTTAACTATTGAGAAAATTAAAATGATTTGTAGTTGGACTTTTTAAATTAGAATCAGTGAAATTTGAGAAAATTTTGGTTCAACTTTTGTAGCTATTATTATTTTTTTTAAAATTTCACCAATTTTAATTTTAAAATTTCAATTCCATACGACCGAACACACTGGGATTATATATTCATGTTTTGTTTTATTATTACTTGAATTCTTTGTGGTTGGGTTGCGGTATAGAATTGAAGTCTTGGCATAGAATTGGAGTATTGGAATTAGTGAAATTTTTGAAAATTTTGATTCAATTTTCTGAATTGCTTTTCTTTAATTCCATGTCTGCTAAACATAGCCTATATGAACTTGAGAAATGTATTAGTTGAAGTGAATTTCAACAAATTCAATCTCAGAGTAACAATTGAATGCTTCTACCGAGTATCATCTCTGATGGTGTGTGTGTGTGTGTGGTGGGGGGGGGGGGGGGGGGGAGGGTGGGTATGAGCCCCTCCATTTAACTTGCCAGCTCCATGAATGGGATTGGTTCTAGACAAGATAAGAATTGGCATTTGAGTGAGAATTATGAGATATGTTCCATGGAGGCACATTTCAGTTATTTCTTGATATATCTCATTTTCCCTTTCTTTTCAGGTGGTGGATCTAGTTAGGAAAGCAGTGCCCCTTGCTCTGACAGCTGATGATGACCCGAGGAAGGATGAGCTGAAGAAGCTGCAGGAGAAGAAGGAAGAGCTCGACATGCTGGCACATAGGCAGGTCCGACGCATCCTCTGGTCCGGGCTAGGGCTGTCCGTGTTACAGGTTGGGCTCTTCTTCCGCCTAACGTTCTGGGAATTCTCATGGGATATCATGGAGCCCATTGCATTCTTCACCACAAGCACTGGCATAATCATAGGTTATGCCTACTTTCTCTTCACTTCAAGGGACCCTACTTACCAAGACCTGTTGAAGAGGCTGCTTGTCTCGAGGCAGAAGAAGCTGATCAAGAAGCATAATTTCGACGTGGAGAGGTTCATGGATTTACAAAAGAAATGTAAATCGCCTCTGGACATCCCGGCCTTCGCCAAACATCGGATGGGGGTGGGACTGGATCATGAAGACTAATGGAAGATCCTTGACATAGGCAATATTAACACATTTTTGGTCTTTTGACAGCTTACTTTAGAATTCATCTTATTCAACCAACCCCTCCTATTTTCTCCGAGGCAGGGCATACATGTTGTTGAACTTTTTACTTGCTTCTTAAGCTTACTCTCCGATTTATTGATTCGATTCTCGAATCTATTCTTTCACTAGCACGAACTAGGACTAGCTGAAAGTGTTCACTGCCATGAGATCCAAACTCTTTGGCTGTTGTTACGAGTCAATCTTATACTTGCTTGGTTTTTGCATAAATGACTACAAAAATTTTGTCCATGACTTGATCATGCAGATGTTTTAGCACAGACGAGGTGGGTGAATGTTGTTGTTGCGTTGACAAAATTATTCGTTGTCCGGTCTTTACAGAATTATAGCAGAGGATTTATGAGCTCGGACAGATTTGTGATACAAGATCGATCTTTGCAAGTTTTGCCAAAGAAGTTAAGGTCTAAGTGACAATTTCACCACTAAGACCTTAACTTCTTTGGCAATTGCTCAAATGTTGTCATATTACTGGCAAAGGTTTCTGAAACTCTTTTCTTGCTAATTTGAGAAAAGAAAAAACAAAGAAAAAAAGTTCAGTTTATAAGTCAGGAACCTGGATGGACTTGGTGTTGGTTTGGGGAAGAATCTTGGAGCGTGAACTAGGGTTCTTTGTCCAATGTCTTCTGCAAGTACTGAATGTAACTGCATAGAATCGTGCGATTCCACCAATTCTTACCCGATTCTATTAATTCTATCAAATGAACGATTTTGTTGTAATTTGGATCAATTTTGATGTCTGAAGTCATAGAATTATGTAATTCTACTATCTACGATTTAAAATTACAATTTTAATAACCATGATTGCAACAAGAATATTCTCGTTTTTAAGAGAGCCATACACCATTTTAACATTGTAAAATTGGAGAGATTTCAATGTTTTGGGTCCGTATGTCGGTATATAGTATTAGTGTAACAAATTCAGGCGAATATCAATATAAACCGATTGAACTTGAATCCTTAAAAAAAAAATTATGAACCAAGCGATTCATATCAGCCCATACGATAAACCATACTATATACCCAATAAACGCGTCACTTATAATTTTTAAACTTGTATCTAAGTCAGCAAAATTCATCTCGAACATTTTCATTTCAGTACAAGATGGTAATTATGAAAAATGATGTTTTAATCTTTTTATATATATATATATATATATATACAAAAAAAAAAATAATATTTACTTAAATTCAAAAACAGGGGGCCATAGCCCATAGGCAGTGAATCAATGGGCGGTGAAAATTGGTGATTGGTGAATTGAATATTTGTACATAAAAGCGGGTTTAGTCGAGTTGGCAGTTGGGAAAGAGGGGATAAGGAAAGAGAGAAATGTAGATAAGGTTGATTGCTTGCATATTCTATTCCCTTTGTTGCCACTCTAGCCACTGCTCCTGCTGCTCAGACACTATACACCTCCTTCTTCCTTTTAGAGAGAGAAAGAAGTGAGAGAAAGTGGGTAGGCATCCACAACCTCTATAATACGGAGAAGAGGGAATTATGTCTGCTTTGGCAACATCAGCTCTAAATGTTAGCTCTTTTGGCTCTATAAGTACTCCCAACCACAACAGATCCCTCCTCCATCACACACACTCATTGCAACTGTCTGCATCTCCGCACCATCTTCCCAAACTCACCACCACCACCTGTAGAGCTGCATCCTCCGTGAACACAGCCGTTGATTCGTCTGATCCTGCTCAAAAGGTTAACTCCTCTCTCTCTCTCTCTCTCTCTCTCTCTCTCTCTATATATATATATATATATATATATATCTTACTACATGATGCAAAACATGGGCAAAAAAAAGAAAAAAAGAAAAGAAAAGAAAAGAAAGAAACCCTTCAATTTAATTAGCAGGAGTGAGATATACTTGTTTATCAAATTGGTTAAAAAGCTGCATATTCATACGTTTCCCCTAATTGCATACACATACATACAATTAGGGCATTTTATCTATGGATTTTGGGATGCTTTGAACTAAATTGGTGATGCCGAAATGGGGATTTGTTAACCTTTGGGAGTTGCTGATCTAAGTATTCACCATTCTTCCGAACTTTTCATGGGACTTGGTTTGCTTGCTCTAATTCCTCATTCGTTGCCTGTTGCTTGTTTCTTCTCATGTCAACCAAAATTTGGTTCAAAACAGTGCAATAAACCGGTATCTCCATTAGTAATTCACACACACACACACAGACCTGTTAAATTCCTCTTGAAGGATTTAAATATTAAAGTTTCACCCTCTTTAACAGCTTTAAATTTTAAGTAGATAGTTCGATTCTTGTACCTCTCTGGAAGGGTTTTATAATCTAACCTAAGTTGGCTTAAATTCAAACCATTATGAGTAAATTCCTACTTAACTCTTGATGGTTTGACCAAAACCCAGATAGAATCGTCCCCCTAAATTACTATGACGATGCATTTGAAGTTGGACTTGAAATTGGAGAAAAATTAGTTTAAAATTTGAAGTAATTTTTGATTGATTACAATTCCAAGACACCAATTCATGCTCCCAAACATGACTTGAATGTATTCAATCTTGAAATTTGACTGACAATCATTCTGGTATCACTTGATCATCTTAATATGCAGCAGCAGGCCAGCAACAAGTATTATTTTGCTGTTGCAAATGCAAAATTCATGCTGGATGAAGAAGAGCATTTCAAGGAGCTGTTGTTCGAGCGGCTTCGTATGTATGGAGAGCGTAATATAGAGCAGGACTTCTGGCTTGTGATTGAACCCAAGTTTTTGGATAAATTTCCCAACATTGCCAAGAGATTGAAAAGACCTGCTGTTGCTCTAGTTTCGACAAATGGTACATGGATCACGTAAGCACATCATCCCTTTGATCTTTTGATTCTTTATTTCTATATTTTCCCTTCTAAAAACAGTAGGTTAGCAGTTTGCTTCACTCAAACCAGAACCATTTCTCTGTTAAATGTTGTTGTTCCGTATAAGTTATATTGACACAGACCAAAAATTTGACTCATACCTATAATAGACTGCTCTGCCTCACAATCAGATGGACATGGGAGAGAAATAATTCTTTATGTAGTAACATTTTGTACTTCTTACCCTTGTGAAGAGGATTCCAGTTGATAGCCTTATCTCTGTATATGGAGAGACTGTAAAAATTGGATAGGTTTGATCTATGGTCATTAGGGCCTCCTAATAGGATCAACTAAATTCATCAAGCTGTTCCAAAGGATCAAAACAGCTGGTTATTAATGGAATTCCTTGTCGGCTCTCCATGAAATATTCGTTTGGCCGAGGGCTTCCAAACACATCATAAGCTAAACCCGTACTGACAAATAACCAACCTGCAATGAATGAGGAAGGTGTAGGAATGCTAAGAATGACCCATGACAGACTGTTTCTGTTTCGAACTCGTGACCTACAGGTCATAATGGAGCAACCTTACTGTTAGGCCAAGGCTCGCCCTTAGACGTTTTGGTTGATGTTTTGGACAATATCCACTTTCCCTAAAACCATATGTGCCCCATGTACATGTGCATACCTTTTTATGTTTAGCTCTTGACGAGAGAATTTTGACATCATATGAATATGATCTATTCTTTTGTAATATTATGATAATGCTATAACAAAGGAAAGTACATTTGTTTACTTCTTGTTAATAGATTAAAATTGTTGAGAGTCATCATGCTTGAACAAATTAGAAATGTTTTGTTTATTTACACACAATGAGTCTTCATGCATGATTGTGTTGCTCCACAGGTTCATGAAGTTGAGACTGGACAGAGTTTTATCAGAATGCTACGAAGCTGAAAGTCTAGAAGAAGCATTGGCATCTAACCCCGTCGATCTAGAGTTCGAGAAGCCAGAAAATTGGGTCGCCCCCTATCCCAAGTATGAATACGGGTGGTGGGAATCCTTCTTGCCACCAGGATCTGAAAAGCCGAAAGTATGAAAGACTTTCTTTTGGCCTTCCGCTCCAAACATTAAAGTTTGCAGCATGCGTGAGTGACATGAAATGTGCGTGAGGCTCTACATAAATCTCTGTAAGTTAGGAACGACACTTGCTATTTAATATCAAAGATTAGTGGATTTCAAGAGGTATGATCTAGAGGCACAAAGATGGAACTGCAGAGGAGATGTATGTATGCCTAATTTTAATAAAATTGAGCAGTGTTTGATTTATCCAGTCTAAGGAGTTGAATATTTTATAAAATCATTTTTAGGCCTTATAATTATTTTGAGGGCTACATTTCAAACGAATATTTTCCTAGGGTACCTTGAAAAGATGCAGTGAATAGATTTTGTTAACTCATCTTGATTTAAGAACCTAATTTCAAGCAATTTCATGCTTTGGGGAAGGACTTTTTCTTTTTTCTTTATCACTGTAGATATTTAAGTGATGGCTTCAGAAAACCTAGATAGATAACAGAATATATGGAATCTAAATCTCAGACTAAGATGTTAAGATCATTACTATTTGGGAACCTAAACCATCATTGTAATAGTTTTCTGAACAGGTTACACAACTGCAATCCTTATGGTTGAATTTGTCTTCGAGATGTCTCCTTAAGCATGTTACAATTTCATCGCCAAACTACCCAAATATCTGGTTAGGTTGTCTGATGAAACTGCAGGTAACTTTGCCATCTCTGGGACCGATAGACAACCAAGTGCTTAATGGTTTCAATCTCTTGATGAAGTTGTGTCTGGTAAATTCTTCCAACCCTATAAACTCCAAGCAGAAAAGTTCAGCCATATTCCTAACAAAGATACCATAAAACACAAAAGTGTTGTAGTGATGTGTATCACATCAGACCTCATTTACAAAAAAACACATATATTTCACCTTAGAGAGTGGTTAAACATCAGTATCGCACATTATAATCACTCTAAAAGAATGTCTGAACGGAAAAATGAAGGCTCGAGAAAGCAAACTAAACAGAAGGAAGAGAAAAACAGTGTAGTCTAGTTAACACCCAGATCAAAAAACAGAGAAGCACAACCAAATGTATATTAATAATACTTGTACTATTATGTAAGAAGAAATGGTGAGCTAAAGAACTTGCAGAATCAGGCGGAAGACGGGCCTGCCCAGTTTTGGCGATTGCTCTTTCTTATTTTCAGTGCTGCTTGTTACTCTTGGTGAAAGGGACTTTCGGGAGCTTTTGGAGAACAGTTTCATCCAGCACTTTGTATTGCTTCTTGAATTCATTGTGTGCCTTCTCAGCATAAGCATCCACTGGATCCTCATTCATCTCATACAGAAAGGGTAGTGTCAGCAGCATCACAAACACTGCGCCAACATAACAAAAAAGCATTACTAGTATTAGTACCCATGTTACTTTTACCCATGCAAATAAGCAAAACAAAACTATGTTACATTGATTCGGGTGCAGATGTTTCCGTCAGTTCTACAAAAATCCCCAAAATGCAAGGACATGATGTGGCTTAAGGTTCATAAATTTTTAATATGACTACCTTCTATATTTTGAATGTAACAAAGAGTACTCAACATAGGCACTTGTTATGAAGCAAATATGTCATAAAAGGAACGACACAAGAGAGTTGCAAAAATCATTGAATATTCTTGTCAGCTACATGTCCTTACTAGATGTTTCAGGCATATATTTCGTACCCATGTTGTAATGTCATGGTCCTACATGGGTACTTCATGCATTCTTGACAAAATCCTTGTAACAGTGATGAAAACTCGTGATCCGTAGAAAACAATGTTGTCCCGTTTCATCACTGCTTCACATTTCAAAACAATGGCTTCCAACTCCATATTCCATTCAGAAGCTAAGATATTGTTGATCGTCGGTCCGTCCATCCTAATGTGGTGCAGCATGGTAGAATTTATTTGAGTCACAACTTAAGGCTTTGTTTGGATTGATGGAATTGGAAGGAAAATAAAAAAAACGAAAGGTAAGAATAGGGTTTTTTTATGTCCGGTTTGCCATTGAGGGGAGAAAAGAAAGGAAAAGGAGAGATTTGAAGGGATAGCTTAACCCTCCAAATCTCTCCTTTACCATCCATCCTTCAAAAAGTGGGAAGATTTGGAGAGAGAGAATAACAACTTAAGTGAAACATTCATAATACCAAAAATAACCTTAACATTTTAAAGAAGAAAATTTAAAAGACATTTGGGTACCAAATAAGAATAAAAATACAAAAGGGTATAATAGTAAATTGGTTAAACTAGTTTCTTTTCTTTTCTCTCCTTTACCTTTTCTAAGCAAGAATGCTATCATTTCCTTTCTTTCCCTTTATAATTAATCCACATATGAATATTATTGCTATCCATCCTTCAAAAAGTGGGAAGATTTGGAGAGAGAGAATAACAACTTAAGTGAAACATTCATAATACCAAAAATAACCTTAACATTTTAAAGAAGAAAATTTAAAAGACATTTGGGTACCAAATAAGAATAAAAATACAAAAGGGTATAATAGTAAATTGGTTAAACTAGTTTCTTTTCTTTTCTCTCCTTTACCTTTTCTAAGCAAGAATGCTATCATTTCCTTTCTTTCCCTTTATAATTAATCCACATATGAATATTATTGCTATATTTTCTTTTCTTTTCTCTCATAACTAATGCTATCTTTTCTTTTCTTTTCCCTCTTGTTTTTCCGAACAACTTAAGGAATGTTAAGTCTTTCTTTTCTTTTCTTTTTTCCTATTTTCTTTATTAGTTCAATTATAATCAAGCAAGACAATGTCTTTTGCCATCTGCAACCAATGGAGTAACTTGTGCAAGATTAGAAAACGAAACCAAAAAATTGATAGGTTCCACCAATCAATGCCTAAAGAGAAGATATGAAGAACAAACTCACTGATGTATATGAGGGTCAAAAAGTCAAACCAACTGCCAACAACAGAGATAACCCACAAGGCCGTGATTGCCTGCATGTCAAATTTAGATTTGTCACAGTACCAATGAATGAGAAACTATCAATGTTTTCGGAAAAAAAATATAGCGAAGTTGAGGGGAAGAAAGGTACATAAAGGAATTTCTTCAAATCTTTTCCTGAAGCCACTTCCCTAAACATTGCGAATGCCTGGTTAAATTGGCACCTCAGAAAAAGAGCACTACGCTTGAACAAGTCCTCTGGCAATACAATCTCAGGGATGTTCAAAGGCCTAACTCATAAAGAAAAAAACATTGTAGTTAAATCATATCTGGATATGGGAAGCAAAGCTTACAAATGGTTTTTTCTCAATCTAACACGTTATGAATGCATAACAGGCACAATAAAAGGGAGTTTCCTCATCACTGTCATACATTTTCTTTTGCTAAAAATGACAATATGTCAATGTTAATACATAGAAGTGACATGAGGCAGACAAATTTAAAGGGAAAAAAAAAAAAAAAAAAAAAAAAAAAACCTCTTTAAAGAAAAAAATACTGCAATATTAAAGCACAAAAGACACGTCATTGATGGGGAAAAAAAAAAAATCAATACTGTCATAATTGTTACTCTGTTTTATGACAAATAAATCTCCTTTTACCATCACCCTAACGAAGTCACTAGTTCAACCCTCAATTAAGCCATACAGAAAATCTCTAATTCCCAGCTCAAATGGCATCCTATGGCCCAAGTGCTTAGAAGCCCTGAAGAAGATTATTCTGTTAGAAAGCCAAAATTCCTATTTGGCCTGGTTTTACCAAAAAAAATCATCCATCGAAGTTTAGCTTCACAAACTCATGCAGATGCCTCAAAGCATCAATAATAGTGAAGAAAAGTGCTTTTTACTCCAAGCATGGATATTGAAGATAAGTGTAATGAAATGACCACCAACAGAACCTTTGGACATAAAAGGAACAAAACAAAATTCTTTCAAATTTCTGGTTTGGAATGATCCAGAACCTCTCCACATAATTTTGTCCCTCTTTTTTCTAGGAATGAAGCAAAGCAAGCAGAGAGATGTTGTACAAGCAGAAATATACTCCTACCCCAGAAGGTGCAGAATTGAAACATATATTTAAGGAAGTAGCACTATAATGAATATTATTATTATTATTATTATATTTTTTTTGGGGGGGAGGGGGAGGAAAGAAAAGTAGCGCTGTAGTGAACTACTAAGAGGCACCTCTCGAAAAGGAAGAGAAAATGATCCACTAAAACTTCTGTTTGCACATTCATATAAACATCAAGATACATGACATGCTTCTTCTCTTAAATGTGTCCTTTTTTCTTTGTTAACCTTTTCTGCACAATTTTCCAATCCAAAGTGTAATAGTAGCAATGTGAAAAGATTATGCTAAATTGGGAAAATTAGGATACTGTGAAAGACAAAAAAATTATAAAACTAAATGTTTCTAAAATCCATGATAAAGAAATCACTTTCAAGTAATTTCAATTAGAATTTTGTATAAAATTCAAATTCAAGGAATGGCCATAAGAGAATAAAACAAAAATAGAGATACGATATAAGTAACTTTAACAACTTACAAACAACAGAGACGAGAAAAGGAAGCCTGATCTTACGAATTACAAGAACCTCAAAGAATCTCACAATCAGATGGATCAGATCCCAACCATCTAAATGAGTGTTAAATTTACCGTGGATCACAGTAAGAAAATTCTTTTTCTATTGCTTAATTATCCTTCACAAACATGAGGAATATCAAACGAAAAGGTCCAAACAGAAATCCTAGATATCAAGAGGAGTTAGGAGAAACATAAACCCATCCTCCAAGTGGTCTTTTCTTCTTCCAAATCAGTCAGGAATTAATAGTTCTGTTTGAGTTTTTCAACTTTATGGGAATCTTAACCAGAATTCTGAAAGTCAACATCAAGAAGACTGAAATGTATTAATATTGATTGGATCAATGATAGTACCATCAGAGCAAAATAACTCTTCTTTTAAGACGCTTAAGGCCCACTGATTTCTCTAAACAGGGTCCAAAATTTAAAGCTCCAAATACTGCCTAATAACCTAGGTCCATGGAAGCCAATCACTAATTAAACATGCGAGAGAGTTCATTCAAGAAGCACTACTTAGAACTTTCAGAGGTTGGTCCCATAATGCTTTTGCTAAATTTGGGACACAAATCCTGAATGAACTAAAGGAACAGTTTCTCCGTTTTTCAAGCCAAGCTAATGGGTGAAAAATAACACCATTATCAACCTATAAATGTAAGACTACCTCCATACCTTGAACCATAAACCATGTTTAAATTTAGTCTTGAGCATGACTTTCCTCAGTACATGCACAAGAAAAGGAAGCAGAGGGTTGCCTGTATATTCACCTAGGTGCACTATGTAGCCACTGGCTGCACCGTAAATAAATATAGTTAACAGAAAGAGGCAAAAGCAGTAATATATTTTCTATGAGTTGAGATTAGAGCTATCTAATGCAAGAATCTCTAATCCACCATACACTTTTTCTAAACTCGGGCTAAATGATCCCATCTTAGCTTTTTTTTTTTAATCAACTACGGCACCATTAAAGGCTCTAGGAGTCAAAGACTATAGAGTGTAGAATGCTCAATTTTTTTGGAATCCACTTGGTAATGATTTTGAAAGGACTAGAAGCCATGCTCTAATGGCTTTAAGACAGGAATGAATATAAGAACCCTTTAGAAAGTTATTCTACTATCTATCCTTTTTTCTGACATCATAAACAGTCAAATTATAGTACAGACAAAATGCCACAAAGTTAGACGCAAACAGCTATTAAGTTAATGACACAATTCCACCAAGTACCTAGAATCATTATGATTATACAAGCACTGATAAACCAAAAGAGCGCGCGGCAGCATCAGAAGAAACCGGAACAGACAAGCCATTGCTATTTCAGCCAAAGACAAATTGAAAACTAAGAAAACTGATATTTTCTCTTTGTCAAGTTTTGACCAAGAATAACCACCACCTTACCTATTTGCAACTGATTTATTAGGAAAAATCAAAAGAAAAATGTCATGTTTCAGTATAGAACAAAGTAAAGCAATTATTGTATTGCTTTAGTTTTTTATTTTATTTTATTTTATTTTTTTAATAAAAAAAATGCAATACCAATAATTGGCAATTTTAAACAAGCAATTTAATAAAGAACCTTAAATTAGTAAAAGAAGTAAGCAAGAAAAGTGAAGGTTCACAAATGCCTCATAGGGCATTGACAATAAACAGTAAAAGCTTCCAATATTCTATAGACAAGAAAAATAGACAAATTAAGAATGATAATATAGGTAGATATAAGGTTTGATAAGCAGGGTTTTGGAATATTATTTAATGTATGGCCCCACACTACATACTCATAATAACTAAGCAAAGAACCAGATGAAAACTTCATATTAAAAAAAAAACAAAGCTGAACAGCACAACGAGAGAGTTAACAAACAGGGCAGTGCAGAAAAAAGAAGGTAATTTCAGAGGATTAATGAAAAACTGAAGCAGCAAATTTAGCATTACAAAAACTAAAGAAAGAAAGAAACCCACTTGTTAATATAGGATGATATATTGGACCAAAGGAACAATGTTGCCAACGAAAGTATTAGGGAATGGCACACAAAAGTAAGGAAGTGATAACCATTCCACTCAAAGAGAAACCATATGACAGTTACACTAGCAAGCATGCCTGCTGAGATCTGCTTGTTTCGCCAAAGTATTATGTCAGCAGCTGAAAAAAGAGAGTAAATTATGATGAGTATATTCCACTTCACAGATGGAGTTACAGCTTTCGATCAGAAAAATGAGCTAGCATGATTCATTGGAACTTCACAACTTCACGTGTTATTCATTTCATAAAATAGTGTCAAAACAAACAGATACAAGTGAAAACATAACTTCATAAGTTGTCCAAAGTCCCAAATGTCTGATAGATGCACTGTCTATCACTAATATTAATATATAAAAAATATCTCCATCCAAAGACATAATTGGATAGAAAAGTTGTTCAAATGGTATTGAATTTGAGTTCAACCTTTCCAAATCACCTTCTTCATTCAGAGTAATACTTCTTCATATGGAGGTACTCCACCCCTCTGTTTCTTCCTTTTCTTTTTCAAATAAAAAGATGTAACTTCTTCAAATGGAAGGTTTAAGAAGCATGCATTTGTACAGTTGAGGTGATTTCTTATACGAAGACTAGTCATACATTCCCAATGAAAGTAATATTTATCATGTTAGCTATTGTAGAAATCCTCAAGAAAAGCGAACCATCCACAATCAAATAAAACCTCAAAACAATATTTTTAGCCAAATTCAGCAATCTATTTCTTTGAATGGTAGAAATTTTGCAGAATACGCATTAACCAGATGTATGTAATAGTGAAACAACATAACAATCTCAGTCATCAAAATGTTCGCAACAAAGTAGCATGCTTTCGAAGGCCCTTAATAAACTAAATGATCCCATTCTCCCATATGAAAGTCAGTCCTTTCGCCACTTAAGCGAATAGGGAAATGCTACATCGAGTCACTGATTGATTAAAAAATTGATAGCTAATCTTAACAACTTTACTAAACATAACATTACATAAATTGGGTGTAATGATGAATCAAACATCTGTAACATAATACTCTAGATAAGTTTAATCAAATCTTTTTAGTTTTTCAAGTAATAAAAACTATCCATATAATCACTGTAGTATATACTCAAGTTATACCATTTATTTTTATTTTTATTTTTTATAATAATTTTGAAGTAAAATAATATATGGTATCAGTTTATGTAATTTTTTGGACACAGTACATGGATCTCATATTCATGGTTGCTTAATTTGCATGAAAGGAATGGTAATTATAACACAAGTGCACAACACAATAAAACTACATAACTTTTTATGTCCAAACTTCATAAAACATAGCTATGTGCTCTTCCCTTTGGTTATTTTAGGTAACAAAAAAAAAATGGCATTGACATTTCATAATTCATGGACCCAGAAATTTTCACTTGGAGGGGCTAGAGTAATAGTATGAAAATAATTTTAAATTAATAGTATGAATCAAAATGCTAATGGTATTAAATTAATACTTTTAAATTAATTGTATTAAATATATAGTATGAATCAAAATAATTTTAAATTAATAAACAGTAATATATATTTCTTATAGACACCTTGGTATTTATCTAAATATAAAAAAAAGATTTAAAAGGATTATTCATTAATTGCATTAGGCACATAGTTATGCTTGGGTTTTCTTACATTTTCAACCTACAAAATGTAAGGCCTAAAACGATCCAATTTGAAACTATTGGGGGCATTGACCCCTTGGTCCCCCAGTGGGTCCGGCCATGGCCATATACATACAAGAATGTCTTTTATATACTATATAATGCTAGAATCAATGCATGCTCATAACCACAGATACAATCCATATATATATATCTATACACACACACACACACACATTTGTAAACATGTCAAAGAAGTAGAGATTCAAGTCATTCAGAGAACTATAGCTGAACAATGTGAAATCAAGAACCAACAGAGCACAGAACAACAGAGAAACAATATATAGGCACAAGAAATGAAGGAGATATATACGTTTGCCACCGCCAAGGGCGGCGTGAACGGGCTTCTGGCGGCCGAAGAGGCGATACTTTTTTGACCCGATGTGTTTGTCAATTTCATTCTGTATCGAAGAAGAAGCGTCCTTCGACAAAACGTGGTTCTCAACCGCTTCTTTAATCTTCTCTTCTAGGGTTTCAGAGACAGCAGCAGCAGCAGCCTCCACCTGCTCAGAGATCTTTTCCTACAATGCCGTACACATAATCACAAATTTCAAAAAGAGAAACCCCAAAGACACATTCAGAATCTTTCAATCAAAACACACACACAAAAACACACACATGGGATTCAGAAATAGCAGCAGCAGCAGCATCCACCACAGGATCAGACATCTTTCCCTACAATGAATGCCATAGACATAATCAGAAGCTTCAGAAAAGAAAAATAAAATAAAAATCAAAGACACATTCAGAATCTTTAAATCAAAACACACACACAAATGCATGTTTATGCAGATGATCAAGAAAGGCTAGAGAAATCATCATACTGTTTTGTATTGATCAATGTGTGTTCTCAATCGATTGATTGACGGGCTTTCTTTGATTAATTTCTTCTCTCTCACTCTCTCTCTCTGCGTCTACAAGAAACTGAAAAATTCAAAGAATGGAGAGCGAAATGTGCCCTCAAAATCCACACGTTCCGATTTTAATGGAATATCCCAGGAGACTCTAATCCACCCGTAAACCAGATATTTCTCACCTCTTTTTGGAATTCTAACGGTTTACAGAGGACCGTGTACATATATATATGTGTGTGTGTGTGTGTGTGTGCACACTTTTGTTCATATATGTGTAGGATAGACCATAGAGATCGAAATTATAGGGTGATCATGTATATTTGAAAAAAGGTGACTAAAATTGTACATGTGTGTAATGTGTATATAGATTAATATTTATTAATTATCTTTGAATTAACTTGTTAAAAACTATACTAGTTGGTGGATAGTTCGACTCTATTTGATGATTAAAGAAGTCTAGAAGGAAAATATTTCCATGAACTTGTTAACTAATGGCTTAATACAGTGCACAAATGATAATAATAATAATTAATCCAGCCATATTTGAACACACTTTTTTTTTTAATCCAAGTAAATTTCATACTTTTTTTTTATAGATAATTTCATACTCACTTAATACCAAATATATATATACATATATATATATATATAAATTTTTATTACCCCCATAACAAATCAAACAAATGTTACTATCAATTAATAGGTACATCAAACACAATAATATTCCATACCATGCCAGGACACGATCACCAAAATTAAAATAGAGTTTTTTTTTTTTTATTTTTTATTTTTTTATATATATATATATATATATATATTTGGAGAAACTTCATGAATTCTTTACAATTAGGGAAAATTGCATACACTCTCCATCTACAATACTCGGGGCATCTCAATCGTTGAATCATTTATCAAGTGTCCCACCATTACATTCAAAGATTGAAACCTCAAAAGTTACGGGACTCCTGCAGTATTGTAAATTTTCACCATTACAAGAATAATTCATGACAATACCTCTCGAACAATCATCAATAAAGTAATTAAAAGTATTGAAATATAGTTTTTTTATTTTTTATTTTTTTATTAAAAAAACAAAGATATTTTTGTGTATTTTTCGAGAAACTTCAATTCTTTACATTTTGAGGGTAAATTGAATAAAATCCCCCCTGTACTTTCAATTTTTGGCAAAAAAAATCCCTTAAAGAAAAAAATTGACATAAAACCCCCTTTAACTATCAAATTTGTTAGAACTGATATGACTTCTATTAGGTTATTATTTCTTTTTTATTTTTTAAAAATTAAACTTTAAAAAAAATTTGAAAATTACACACCATTAAGTGATGTTATAATGACGAAATAAAAATTTTGGCTTCTTATTCATTTTTTATTCCCTTTTCATTTTAGGTTTTTTTTTTTATTTTTTTATTTTTTAGAAATAAAAATTTAAGAAATTTTTGAAAAACTCTTTCAAGGTATTTTCATTTTCTTATAGACACACCAATAAAAAAATCAAAATTTTTTTTTCAATAATACTACACCAAATGAGTTATTTTTAAAAATTTTAATTTAATATTAAGGGGCACCATCTAATTAATTTGTATTAAGGGATATTTTCGTCTTCGCTTTGCAACAAATTAGATAATTAAGATGGTTTTATTTCAAACTTTTTTCTTCAGAGAGGTTTCTCTTCAAAAATTAAAAATAGAGGGAGGTTTTATATAATTTTCCCTACATTCTATTTAAAAAACAATTAGGATGTATTACTAGTCCACAAATGTTGGTGATGAATCAATTTAGAACATAACTGATTGAGTTCATCATTTACTTGTCCATGTATGCATGACATTCATATGCATGCTTGCACACGGTCATGTATATATCAAGTTTTCAGAAGAATGATATACAAGCTAATGTGTTAACGAGCACACAAACTAAGCTAACCATTTTACAGGTTCAATTATTGTTCCCTTTTAATCAAATTCTTCCTTTGGAACGCAATTTTAGTAAGATATTATCCAGTGATTAAGTTGATAGAAAGTCTAGTTGCTCAAGCTCTTCAAATATCCCTCCTTTGATGGGATTAAAAAAAATTAGAAACCTTAAAGACGAACAAATCAAATGCCTCAAATGTGGTCAACAATAACAAATAATGGGAATCTCAATGGGTTGGCCTTAAGGGCGGATTCAGGAATTGACAATGAAGTGGGTTAAAATTAAACATAAATTTAATAACACAATTTCTTAACCAATTTTTTTTTATTTTTTTATTATTTTTTAACACAATTTCTTAACCAATTTTTATTTTTTTTATAACATAATCTATATAAATATTTGAATTCAAAGATTACATAATCTATATAATTTTTTTTAAAAAACATAATCTATATAATTTTTTTTATATAACATAATCTATTTAAATATTTGAGGCCAGAGGAGGACAGTGGTGCACGGTGGAGTTGTGGAGATGAGAGCAGAGGTCTGCGAATTGCAAATCTTAGAGTTAGGAACATAGCACTAGTTCATGTATTTGGGCCTGTTTAGATTACGCCTTTATTTTAGCCTTGCACTTGTTTGGGTGAGCTAATACTAATAATAATAAATTTTTTTTTTTGGGGATGGGCTAAATTTATCCATAGTAATTAAATTTTTTTTTTGGGTGGGCTCAGCCCAGCCCTACTTTAGATCCGCTATTGGTTGGCTTAGTGGTAAAATCACTTGGGCTTGGGTGCTTACTAGCACCAAAGTGTGAGGTTTGATTTCTACTAGGAGCTTAAGACAACTTGGGATCAGGCTTCCGCTACCATATTCGGTGACTTATTCAGTCGGGGTGGACGAAGTATCTGATACCCTGATCATTCAAAAAAAAAAAAAAAACACACAACGCAAATAATGGGCATTAATACATTACATCAAAGTTTTATTCTCCCAAACTACAAATTCTTATTATTATTATTATTTATTGATAAATAAGATTTATATATCAAATAAAGCTACAAAGCAAACCAAGAAGAGATCGATCTATTAGTACAGTAGCCAACTTAACTCTTTATTTCTCTTACTACAGTTGCAAAATTAAAAACACAGTTTCACAGCATCTTCACCAAGAGATTAATCCCATATTTAGGCTTTATAACCATCTTCAGAGCCGGTGAATGGACATAGTTGGGAGAGAGAGAAATAGAGAAGTTGGAGAGAATCTGAGCAATCAACATCTTAAGTTCAACCATGCCCAAGTGTTGTCCAGCACACATCCGTGGCCCAAATCCAAACGGCAAGTAAGAGTGTGGAATCTTGCAAGCACCGGCGATCCCATTCGCAAACCTCTCCGGATTGAAGCTGAGCGCGTCCGGCCCCCATATCTCAGGGTCAGTGTGCGTTGGGACCACCATGGTCCAGAGGTTGACACCCTTTGGTACGTTAATGCCTCCAATCTTTATGTCCTTTAAGGCCTCCCTAGACAATGCCGGTCCAGACGGATACAAACGCAGCGTTTCTTGTATCACCATTGTTAGCTGCAGTCCACAATTATAATTTGCACTAAGTGCTATACTTTTTTGTTGATAGTCATCGTATACATGTACAAATTTGTGGCCGCCAATAATTTATCACAAAAAATGGACTTTTCGCCACAAAATATTTTCATCGCAAAAAGCCTTATTTATACCTGTTTCATTTTGCGAAGCATATCAAAATCTGGAATTTGGCCACCACAAACTTCAAGAACCTCGGTGCGTACACGAGTTTGCCATTCTGAGTTTGAAGCCAATAGCATGAGGCACCATGAGGCAGCAATTGCAGTGGGCTTATGCGCGGCCAAGTATACGTTCTTCAAGTTGTCAACGACGAATTGATTGATTTCATCTTGGCTAAGCTCACTATTTTCAGCACCTTCAAGCACCATCTGCAATAGGTCCTTTTCATTCCCACTTTCTTTCCTCTCCTTCACTACCTCTAGGATCAATGCATGGATCTCCTTCCCTAAAGCCCATGCTTCCCTATTGCCTTTGGTAGGAAAATAACTGAAACACAATATATATATGAAATATCTAATTAATTAATCAACTTCAATGTTTGAAATCATAAAATTTAATATTTTTTTTGATATATTATGTACATGTTTATAACCTATAAAAAGGGATTATACAATTCTGGTTTTGCCATGGCAAAATTCCAAGGACTTCAGACATACCTAACTTTTGGTAGTTGCTCGAAACTTATGTCAGTGAGGCAATTTGGAGAAGTTGACATGATATGATCATAAGAAATCATTATTTTTAATTATCTAATTATCTTTAATTCTTTAATATCTTTAATCACATGTAAATTCATAATTAATTGACTTTCTTCTAGCTCAGTGTTTAATTGGTTGGAGAAGAAGAAGGCTTACTTTGAACCAGGCACCCCAATAGTAGAAACTTTTTTTGCGCTAATTTCTTCAAGAGTTTGGAGCCTAACAAAAATCTCTTTCCCCTTGATGTAACTGCTTCCTAAACAAGCTCTCGAGATTACATCTCCAGAGAAACTTCTCATATATGCGTCGATACTTATGTCTGCAGTTCCATCCTCAGTCTCAATTCTACTCTTCCATTCATTTAGTAGTATATCGGTGGACTCAAATATTTGGTTTATCATTCCCTGCAAGATTTAATTAAGTTATACATGTATGCATGTTATATATATATATATATATATATATATATATGTAGTTAATTCGTACCTTGACCTTGTCCACGTATAATTCGGGAGCAATGATTTTCCTTTGATGAGCCCAGGTTGGTCCATTTGAAGTTACAATGCCCTGACCAAGGAATGGACCGAACTCCTTTTGGAGATATGAAGGCTTCCCCAAGTCCAAGGATGTGTAGGTTGTTATCTCTTTCACCAAATCAGTTTGGCTCACATATAATATTACTTTGTTACCAAGTGAAAACATGAACAAATTACCTGCATATAGATATATAACATCATATTTATATATATATTAGCAATCATTTATGTTTATATATATATATATATATTCATACACACACTTTAATTTGTAACTCATACATACGCTAACATGTTAGTATCATAAATTTAATATCAAGCATAAATATGTGTGTCTACCGTATTGCTTTCTCCACTGCTCGAAAAAGGGGAAGAGAGTGACAACCCAATTGTGGTTGAGTGTGGTTTCACTGGTAGACATGGGTGCAGCCGGGGGTTGCCGCTTTCTGAACTCCAAGAGATTACCAAGAAGCAAAGTTGGCGGTGGTCCGCCTATTCCCTCCTTCCTCAGAATGGATCGAACTCTCTCCGGTTCCATCATCAGAGCTTTGTACACAAGCACAAACACTCCCATAACACCAACCAAAAAAATGGACACACAAATTTTTAACATAACATGGACCTCCATGTCCATTTTTCTATCACTTTTCCTCACAAACACTAAGCTAATACTATTTTCTTGTAATGTGTGGCATGAGTTTTACTCACTCAAGTGCTCATTATATTGTGAGTTTTGTGATATAATTTTCCTATCAATCATATATATATATATATATATATATGACGACATTGATCATGGATGGAAGATTTTATAATGATCCCCGAGTTCTTTAAAGGCATACATAAGTTAGCATGGGCGGCAACTCTCTCTCTCTTTGGATATGAGTTGATCACAAATTTTCGAAGGTAGTCTATAATTACTATCTTGGTCTACCAAAAAAATTTACCATTAAACATATTAAATTTGTTAATTTTCAATTTTTATTTTCTTTCTAAATTATAAATTCTTGGTAGAATTTCTTTTATTAATTGAATTGCTTTTAATATGTTAGCTTGATAATAATTTAAATTGGAGAATTTATAAAAAAAAACAAATTAAAATGGAAGTATGTACAATTTTAGATGAAAATATTGTTTATTACGCTGTTTTTTTTTATTCTTTAAAAAAAATTATTATTGTTTAAGGCTACCCGCCTCCTCTCAATTTTTTTTTCTTTTTTTTCTTGGTGTCACTAAATTTTATAAATAATGCCATAAAAGTCTGCCATTACAGAAAGTTAATGGCGTTATTGTTTCTCCAATTAGTTTTGAGCTATTGAATTAGGCTATCCGAAATCATTAATGGTCCGGCAAATCTTTAAAGTCATTGATTGACGAATGAGGATAGGTTTTATAAGTACTGCCATTATAGCTTACCAAAAAAAGGGAAAAAAAAACAGACCACCATAGACAATGAGAAGAATTAATGGCTATTGTTTCTCCACCTATTTTGAGCTAATTGAATTAGGGGATCCGAAATTATTAATGGTCTCACAGTTCCTTACCGGGAAAAAAAATCCTTTCCAGTTATTCTCACTGGATTGGTCCAGTGAGAAATGAAAAAGCTGACTTGGTGGTTCAATTAAATTCAGATTTACCAAATTTGTAATATATACGTACATATAATATACATCATACTTAGTATCTATTATTTAATGAATTGATACTATAGGAAAAAGATGCATATATATATATATACAGAAATATATATATTTACTAGTTGTGTCAAAATTATATATATACAGAAAAAGATGCATATATATATATACGGTCAAAATTGCTACGGCATCAACATGCTTCGATTAGAAGAACGAAGACCTGAGTTGGGAGCAGGACTCAGGATTTTAGAGTTCGCCGAGTCGACACTCGGCCTGACTTGTAGAGAAAGAAATACCATTTTGACTCATGAGCATTTGACTCCATCTTCTTTAACATTACTTTATAATTATTTGAGAAATTAATCTCTTTTAATTATTTTATTAATGGACTACTTGTGATGTCATCAATGACATCACCCACCCTCACTTGGCCTATAAAAGAAAATGACCTAAGGCCAAGAAGGGGGAAGACAAAAAGGGAAGGAAAATTCCTCTTAGACAGAGAGCTCTAAGCTCTCTCTCTCTCTCTTAAATGGGTACTCTCTCTCAAGAAGTCAATGGTGTTTTCCATATACACTGCCATTCCTCCCTCTCTCTCTTGTTTGCCTGAGCTTCCACCTCTCTCAATCCACCTCGGATTCCATCATGCTACAAGATTTACCTCACCATTTGTTATTTTGTGATGATATGGAACCCACCTGAAAATCAGGTACCTACATTTGGCGACTTCACTGGGGAGGTATTCTCGTGTAAACCATGGGAAGAGTCCTTTTGTGGATATGGAAGAGCTCAGAAGCCCTCTATAGATCTGCTATTTCGTGCTACAAATTTACACTCACTGACATGGAAAACTCCTTTGCAGACACACTACTGCTCTAAACTGGTGATATCTTCCCTAACTTGCTTGCTTATTTCTTTGCCCTGCTTTCAAATCAACATCATTAATTATCTGCATGCTCTCTGTTGATGTGGTCTCCAAAGAATAACTTTACCAACTGATTTTCTTTTGTGTCATTTATTTCGTTTTGCACACCACCTACATGTCAAAATCACTTTCATCTGGTGACTTTGCAAAGAAATCAATGGCCCAACTCAGCTGTTCAATCAATTGGCTTACAAGTGTTCTACACCACCCATTCGTTCTTCTTGCTAATCTGCTTGAAATAAATGTGTGCATATATAAATATATACACATATACGTATATATTTATTGCTTTCTTCTTTTTGCCGAGATATATTGTTATCTTATCTTTACTTTCTTATAAAACAAACTCTTAGCTGGATCCCTACAGCTTTTCTCTTTGACAGTACAATAAAGCCTAAAATTAGGCAATAAAGCATCCAAAGTAAAAAGATATTTTGATACCACATTTTTGCACATTTACCGAGACTATCTATATATATATATAGCGCTAGCTGGCATCCTTATCTATAAATATCTTTATCCACAAGCTTTACGTCACTTTTTTTATTACTAAACTAAAATCCTCGTGCTATTTTATAATTGTATATGTACAACCATACATATATATGCACACATGTATACATCGACCACATATGTATATGGTGACCTTCTTCATTTAATGGATATCTCATTAAACTGTTATATTCTTTCACATTTCAAACTAATCGACCAAGTGTTGCTAAATGACGAAAATCGTCAAATTCACGCAACTGTCTCCATGACGACACCCACTTGTCGATCTCAGTAAAACAACTGTCAACAACGACCACACTAGTTGATTTGGTGTCAACAAGGCCCATCAATTTTGTGCACTCAATGATGGCTTTGTCTACGAACCAACCCGTTGTTCTTCGGCAACAACCTCTCGGTTTCAGGCACCCATTCTTGTCGACAAAACTCGTTGATTTCAGGTTATTAGTTACCAGTTTGGTCGATGACCAGTGGTTCTCACAACCAGCTATGACTGCATATTCCTCTATCCTCCACTGGCACTTCACCAAATCAATGTCATAATCCCATTGTGTTGCATACCCAGAAATCAACACTGTTCAAAATATTACACACACGAATTTGCAAAATAAACAAATTTTTTAGATGGGTTCATCCGGCAACGACCCATCACTTTTGGATTGACGATCAACCCGTCGATCTTATGATACTATTTTGCCAAATGCCAACGCCCATCGATGTCATGCAACCAGTTTTAATTGACAAGGGCTTGTTGATTTCATGCAACCGTAGACGACCCCATCCATCGATCTCATGCTATTGTTTCTTCTAAACGCCGACCCCGTCGTGCAACCGTTCCGTTTGTAGACGCCGGTCGATTTCCTTCCACCGTTCATGCAATTGTCTCAACACCCACCCGCAGGTGAACCTGTCAGCGACGCCGGTCGATTTCGTGCACAGTGTCCACAATGAAGCCCGTCATTTTCATCCACCTGTCGATTGCAGACCTATGTTGGTCGACAACCATCGATTTTCTGTTACTTTTGTCGACAAAACCTTTGATTTTAGGCTACCTACCCAACGATGACAAAGCCCGCCGATGACGAGGCCCGTCGATTGTCTACTGCAAGGCCAGGTCAATTTCATACAACCTCTTCCAAAATCTCCAGTCGATTTCTTCCTACCAGTGTTCACGATGACCCCTTTGGATTGCCTCTGTCAAACGCCAGTTGATCTCCTGCAAATCGTTCAAACTATTTTCCAAATGATGACAACCCATCTATTTCATCGAACCTACCATGCTCGTCGATCGGGTAGCTGAAGCGCACGACGAGATTGGATAGACAGGTTTCGTTGTTCGTTGTCACCATCCGACCGTCCCTCGTCGTTCGTTGTCGTCGACAGACGGCTCGTTGATTGCCATTCACAGTCACCGACACTACTGCTCGTGGATCACCATTCGCTTTCTTCGCTGCTACTTGTTCGCTGGTTGTCCTTGAAGCTGAGCCCGTCGACATCTAGTCGATTTTATTCCATCACACTTCAATTTTGTGCAGCTGGCTCTGTCGACACCGAAGCCCGTCAATGGCGAGGCCCATCGATTTGACGCCAGCAACGCTTAATTCCCATCGATTTTATCCTACCTACCTCAGGCCGTCGATTTCGAGCACCCATGCTTGTCGATCTCCGACGATAATTGACTTTTGTTGAACCCGTTTGGTTTGACGACCTACCGACCACCTCAGACCCGTCAATTTCTCATAAACCATCTATCCACGACGCTGGTCGATTTCGTGCCAACTGTTCACGATGAGGCCCGTCGATTTTTTTCTATGCGAAAATCTCTCACAAACCTATTCTCCCTTCTTAACCATATGCCTCGTCTCAGCCACTGTCTCACATCTTCTTCTTTTTTACTGTTGGATATTATCTACATTACAATATCTATAGATATATATGTCTATCTATATATAGAGAGACAGATAGACAGACGATATTTATATAATGTATATCTTCTCCTATGTACCTACCAGTAGTAGCTGCCAAAACACTCTTTGTTTTAGTTACTCATACAAAAGGGTGTATGCTTTTTGCTTACAAGTGACACATGTGACGTACTCACAGTTTGTTTCTTTAACTGCCTCGACGATGATATATCTAGTCTTATAAAATGCTACAAGGCCTCAACTTGGTGAAACAACTTTTGCATCCTTAATAGTTCAACTAATGATATAGTTTAAGTATTTTGATTTTTTTTTTCTTCTTTCTCTCAATCTGTAATCTTACAAGCACTTCCTTTTATCTAATGCTTATTACATCATATATCTTCTTCATTCAACGTCATATGTTCACAAAAACATCTCTCTTTAACTTTCCAAATTTCAAATGATCTAGTGTATCTTTAACATTACATTTACTGGAACATTTGTGCAAGTCCCATTCGAGGACTGCCTTTCAAAATGTTCACCTTATCTGTGGGGTCACTACTACATTACATATACGTGTTCTAATATTGCCTCTATCAACATAAACTGCTACTAATATTGTCACTCAAACAACTCATAGCATTGAATGCAC